AGAAGAATAGAAAATCGAAGCAGCAGTACTAGTAGCATTAGACGGCGACGCGTTGCTTTGGTACCGGTGGGAACATCGTAGAAGACCAATCCGTGACTGGGAAGACTTGAAGACGGTGGTTCTCCGACAATTTCGATCAATGAAAGCAGGAACGTTGTAGGAGCAGTGGTTATCCGTCACTCAAACAGGATCCGTTCTAGAATATCAACGGAAGTTCATCGAATACTCAGCACCGTTAATTGGGGTAATAGAAGTTGTGGCAATGGGTAAGTTTTTTAATGGGCTAAAACATGAATTACAGGCTGAAGTTAGAATATTGGGCCCATGAATTACACCAAATCATCTACGTTGTCATATACCAAAAACACTCAATTATGGTCCAATCCTCAAAATCGAACTTCTGTGTCTTCATCAACTCCTGGCTGAGCAATTACAGCAGCAAAACCTGTTATTGCAGCTTCATACCCTAAATTTGGAAGAGAGATGAAACGACTATCGGAGAAAGAGTTACAAGAAAAGAAGGATAAAGGGCTCTGCTTCAAATGTGATGAAAAATGGCGGGTAGGTCATCAATGTAAAAAGAAGGAACTCAGTATCATTTTAGCCCTAGATGAAGATGAGGATGAGGAAGACCACGAAGAAGAGGCAGAAATAAATAGCACCACAAAAGTATGTTTAAATTCTATCTTAGGCATCACTAAACCTAAAACTATGAAGAAGCTAAAAGGGATAATACAAAATGAGGAAGTGGTGGTCATGATAGACCTAGGAACAACCCACAATTTCATTGCTCTCAAGACTGTTGAATGATTGCAGATTCCTGCCAGAGGATTCGGAGTGGCATTAGGGACGGGGGTTGCGATTCAAGGGCAAGGAGTATGCCAAGGAGTAACTCTGCAGCTTCAAGAGTTGACTATCATTGAAGATTTTTTACGCCTAACACTTGGAAACTCAGATGTCATCCTAGGGGTCCAATGGCTAGAAAAGTTAGGACCTGTTACGACTAACTACTAACTGGAGGACTCAACTCATGCAATTCAAGGTGGATGGTAGAACAACAACTCTTCAAGGAGATCATTCATTAGAATGTTCCAAGGTGGCTTTAAAAAACATGATGAAGACTTTATGCAACATTAAAGAAGGATAATTGAACCAAGTGGAAAAACCGGATAACAATGAAAGAAGTCAAATTCCAGAATTCATGACTGAATTATTGCACAGGCATCAGGATCTTTTTGAAATGCCCAAGGGGTTACCACTATCAAGAGGTCCGGAACATGCCATTCGGCTGCAAACAGTACTAATCCTGTAAGTGTCCTATCGTTATCCTCAAAGTCAAAAAAGAAGAGATTAGTAAATTGACGGGAGAAATGCTTCACGCCAGTATCATACAACCATCAATTAGTCCATTCTCGAGTCCGGTCTTACTAGTTAAGAAAAAGAATGGGGGATGGCGTTTTTGTGTGGAGTACTATAGAGCCTTGGCGGTGGCAGATATTCAAATTATCAATGAATTATTAGATGAGTTGCACGGAGCCAAGATTTTCAAAAAACTTGACCTTAAGTCGGGGTATCATCAGATCAGAGTCAATACGGAGGATATCCTAAAAACAGCATTCCATACTCATGAAGGTCATTACGAGTTTTTGGTAATGCCTTTTGGCTTAACCAACGCTCCAGCCACGTTCCAATCATCGATGAACGATGTTTTTCGACCATTTTTAAGTAAATTTGTGTTGGTCTTTTTTTATGACATTTTGATTTATATCCGGTCGAAAGATCAACATTTGGAGCATGTGCAATGTGTTTTTAGCACACTCAGTGAAAATCAATTGTATGTCAATCGCGAGAAATGTAATTTTGGTCGGGAGGCAGTTACCTACTTGGGGAATGTCATCTCCAACCCGTTGACCCGGATAAAATACAAGCGATTATGAACTAGACTTCACCACAGAATGTGAGAGGATTAAGGGGGTTTCTTGGGCTTACCGGTTATTATCGGAAATTTATATGGAGAGATGCTTCTTGGGCTTACTGGTTATTATCGGAAATTTATACACGTCCCTATGGTATACTGTTTTTTTCAATTTTTAATAGTCTTTTTTAAATAATAAGTTCTAGTCCTAATAGTAGCACATACAAATCTTTGATCATTTCCCTTTGTAGGAAAAAGCATATTGAAAAGGTCATTAGTGTAACTTCCCCTTTTATTTACCAAGAACAAGGCAGGACATCAATATCGATAATAACATCATTACAACAAAATTTTACAATGGAACAATATTCAACAACTATGGAACAATTTGAATTTTGGTTAGTGAAATGGTCCTTTTACTGTTTCAACATTGGAACAAAACTGAAACCTATTTATTAATCAAACCATGATTGTTTTAACTTGACCGATTTACCCCTGGTGTACTGTTTAGAAAGAAATTGATTTACCTCAGGTTGAGAAGAAAATGACAGAATGTTCCAATTATGGTCCCTATAGTAGGGGTTCCAATTCCGGTTCCTTTGAGGTACTGCAATGCTAAAAACCAAAGTATTATTCTCCTATTAATACACATAATCAAGATAGGATTTTGATCAATATCAAGATTTTGAGCACTAGTATCCATGTCCTCCTCAAACTAAACACAGACGTACCAACTCACTTAACTAGAAAAGACCTTATTGCCCTCACTAACTCTACAACTAAAACTACCACCGGGAAAGACTGTTGTCAACTGCAATTTGGGATTAAAATCCTATTCTTTTTTTTTTTAGTTTTACCAAACAAAGAACTTGTATAGATTTGGAATCTAAATTCATCATAATCCCTTGGACCAAAAGCACCCTTAGAATAGAATTAGAATCTTAGTTCAATTTTACTTTTTCATTCTACATATATAACCAAAATTTCTCTTTCATGTCTTGTCATGCAGTGATTTGATTCAATCAGGCTCGATGATAATTCATATTCAGTTTATTCCTATGTGCTCAATGCTACCAAACCTTACAGCAAATTAACAATGATCTAAAAAAACAAGTGTTTGCGAAGATTTTATTGTTGGGTTAATCTTGATGGTTCGGTTAAAGTACGGGTCAAGTCGGTTATGGGTTTGAACGGGTCAGTCCAGGTTCTTTATGCACAGGTTAATAATGAAGATTTAGTCCAAAGAAGGACCTGGTGGAGCTTCAATAAACGTGGACTTAGTAGTCCTATCTTTGTGGCTTTAGCTAATAGTTTTCCTTTTTCTTAGCATGATTATTATTATAAATAGAGTAGGGTTTATCTTCTAGTTGGAGTAGGACGTGTATGTATGTATTTTCTGTTTTCCATGAATGAGCAATACACAGAAAATTGTCCTATCTTCAGATTGCATGTTCTTTCTTTTACTGTGAATATTAGTGCATGTTTGATCTTGTGTAGAGCATGTTCCAACATTTATATATAAAAGATGTTGGGTTGTGTAAATAGGGGGAGGGGAGGGGTGTTGTGGTCAATTAAATGGTGTAAGATTGGAATGATTTACTTAATAATAAGTTTTCAGCTTATTTAAGTGACATCTGATCTTGGAACAAAGAAAGAAGTTCATTGTATGCAGAAAAGTTTAAGCAAAATAGAGAAAAAGAACAAATAAACTAAGTTCAATACTTATCCATAAGACTATAACCAGATTTTACAGCTTCAAAGATATCTATGCAAGAACTTTCTTTGGATGTCAATGACAATCATATGTATCATTCATAATATAACTATAAAGAGGATTTCAATTGGGTATATGTTGGCTTCAATAACGGTGTGTTAACAATAATAAAGTAAATTCGGCCATAACATTTAGAAAGAGATACTACATTCAGCGGTAAGTCAAAACTCCAAACCTAATGTTTTTATCATGATGAAATGCTTGCTATTTATTTTCTTATTTTTCCAGGTTGTTTGTTTTTGCAGTAGGTGTATTATACATGTCTTTGTTGTATGGTCTTTACGTACCAGACTGGAGCTTTGAAGTCATGAACCAAAACTTTTCTTTATCGATACCAGAATATGGGAAAGAGACTCAAATCGTGAGTACTAAACATCTATTTGAAATGAAGACCTTGTAAATCCAAATCTCCCTTGCACCCCAACCTAATTCCGATCGACTACATCAATTATACTAACACTCATCTCCTTGATTTCGCTCAGAAAGAACGATACGAATTTAGGTATAAAAATTGCACCTGTATTAAACTATGCGAAGAGAATTAAGCACTACTCAATGAACTCCAGTCGGAGCGTTGACGCCTTCAGCACCGTCGAGGGCGGCGGCAAGAGAGAGAGCCAGAGCCCGGAGGCGATTCTACGCGTTGTCGGCCTTCGTTCACAGTTCTGGGGAGCTTAATTTAGGTTAAGGCGATATGATGCAGCATAGCTCATCCCTCGGAAATTCCCTTTAGTTGATTTTACCAAATTGCCCTTAGAATTAAAAAATAAAATTTTAATTTTACCAACCGATGGAAGTTGTAACGGATTACCGACATATTTAATTATGTTGCCAAACCGTCGCAAAAGACGGTGCTAGTATCCTAAAATCCATCGCAAACTGTCATTTTTTCCGACGGATTTTTTCCGTTGCTAAAATTTTGTCGATATTGCTCTGCTTTCTAGTAATGAGACACCAGACTTGAATCAAAGCAATTGCAAGTGATCAGGGTAGCAATTGATAGATTTTTGTATCTGCCGGTGCTTTATCCGGATCAAAGTACAGAAGAAGATCGGTTGAGCAAGGAATGTGTATTGAATTGATGTCTTGGTTTGATATTGCTCAAAATTGGTGATAAAAGTATGGTTAATACTTAATAGTTAAGATATAACCGTTATCAAGCCTCAGAATCAACCCAAAAGAGATCAGATATTGGGAGTTTCTTGTTATAAGGGTTATTGTTGACTTAACGTAGAAATTGATGTTAGTTAAATGAGTAAAGCAAGCCATATAGTTGTTTAAAAGCATGCAAGAAACACATTGACACAAAAATCGTCGAGAATATAGTCCAAGTTAGTATATCACATTTTAAAACAAGTATGCCTTTTATGTATCAAGGATACACATAGGCAACACAAGTCTAAGGTATATAAAAAATCTTACAACAAAAGTCTAACTCAAAGAAATATAATTGAAATACACATACTTAACAGTAAACAAACTAAAATCCTAACTCAGAGCAAATCCACATACTTAACAATAATTAGACTCAAATCCCTTGACCTTATACATCTTATCCTTGTCCTTCGAACTTGAAGTTATGATACTCCTGAGATACATGTTAAGGTAAGGATTATAACGTATCCATAGTATTTTAAATTTAAAATATGTAAATAATACAATCTTTGCTTAGATGCATATCTGGTTTGATATATAATTTAAGGGAAAACTTCAATAGAGAACCATTATAAATGGTTCTCCAAAGAACCAAACATTTTTTTCAAGTTTTAGACCTTATTCTTTATCGAAAAAACAAAAAACTAAAAATATCTAAATTCATAACTTCACATTATGCATGCTAATGTATTTTTCGGATTCACCGTATGAATTTAGATTCACAATTATGAATCTGCACAGATTCACACTGTGAATTCGACGAAACAAAAGATGTCCATATTTTTTATCGAATTTGATATCATTTGAAATATGATAAAAAGTTATGAATTCCTGTATTTTTAGTTTTTTTTATTGATTAAAAATATGCTCTTAAAGTTGAAAAAAAAGATTGGTTCTTTTGTTCCATGATTAATAATGGTTCTTTATTGAGTCTCACCCTATAGTTTAATAATGTTTTTGATTATGATGAAAACCTGAAAGTAACTATTAACAAGACAATGTTAAGAAACATATCTCGGTTAATCACACAAATATCTTGTAACGATTGCTTTCAAGTAACAAATGTAGTTTAAAAAAAATCCTTTATAAAAGTATCAGAGTTTTGTAGATGACGCTCATATAATATTGTCTTGGAAAATAGCTTCAAAGTTGTAAGGTAATATAAAGGATTATTGTACCTTTGTTTCTCCTTGTGTTACGAAGTTGCCTTACCCATCTGTCCTTCCTCTTTGTGGACTGATCACTATATCTTCCATATAGAAAGTTTCCAATAAAAATCCCAACAACCAGCCCACTTCCAACTCCACAGAATATAATGATCCAATCAATTCTTTCGCTTGGGAAGAGAGATTCGGACAAATTGGTTGGTGGTGGAAGTCTTGAAGCCTTTGAAATTTGACATTCCTCGGATAAAGGATGTCCACACAATCGAGAATTCCCCGTGTAGGAGCTCTTGTCGAATGTATTGAACTGCTTTCCCTGGGGTATGCGCCCCTCAAGATTGTTGAATGACACATTGAAAATTGAAAGGAAGTTGAGTTGCACCAACTGTTGAGGAATTTCTCCAGATAATTTATTGTGGGAGAGATCCAAAGCTTCGACATTCTTTAGAGATTCTAGTGAGGGCAGAACGTGTCCTGTAAAATGATTGTTGGAAAGATTGAGTGATTGAAGCCCTTGAAGATCTTGGATTGATAGTGGGATTTCTCCTTCAAAATGGTTACAAGAGAGATCAATAGCCATATCTATGGTTAAGATATGTTCGTACTGTGTATTGACAGCTTTGTGAATTACTCTTATTGTATAATCCCAAATGAAACCAGATGATTTGTCATTGACTTCCATAACAGATGATTTGCCAACAAATTTCATTGCATTCCAAGTCTGGAAGTACTTTTGGTCCAATTGACCACTAAAACCATTGTTAGAGAGGTCTATGATCCGTAACTTAGAGAAGTGTGTGGAAACAGCTGTGGAACCTTGAATTGGACCATAAAGTTTGTTGGACCGCAAATCAAGAACTTGCAACTCCGGAAGAGTTCCCATCCAAAAAGGAAATACATCATCAAAAGAGTTAGCTCCAAGAGAGAGAACCTTTAAATTGGTACAATTTGTCAATGATCTTGGGAGCTGACCCGTAAATCTATTTTCACTCACATCAAAACTTTTCAACATGCATCCGTGCATAAATGAATTCATAATTTTGCCATGAAAGTTGTTTCTGCTCAGATCCAAAAACGACAACGAATTGCTTAAGCTACCAAAACACAGAGGAAGTGTTCCACTTAGGTTGTTAGAAAACAAATCAAACATTTGTAGAGATTTCATTTCACATATCATTGGTGGTATTTCTCCGGTCAGATTGTTATTTTCGGCTGCATAAGCGATTGTAGTTTGTGGTGGAATTGGTAGCCGTCCTTGCACCTGATTATGACTGATGAAAAATAGTTGTAAAGATCTCCATGGGAGAAAACGAGGATGCTGATGAAAGCCAGTGATGGAGTTGTATGAAAGGTCAATCTTCTGTAATGTTTCTTTGCTGTTATTCCAAATCCACACCGGTACCAGGCCATCAATTTTGTTGTCATTGAGACGTAAGTCTATCAATTTATCTTGGAAGCGCAAAAAGGAAGGAAATTCCTTCAAGTTGCATGATTCGAGGTTGAATTCAATTAGTTGTGGTAATGTGTTATTGGTGTAATTGTTGGCAGAAAGTAATGATATCCTGTTATCACCTAACCTGAGAGTATCAAGTTTGTTGAGGTGTAGGAACATGTCTATGTCTACCCTCCCTTCGAGATTATTCGAGAATAGGCTAACAAATTGAAGACTTTTGAATTTGGAAAATGAGCTTGAAATTGGTCCTTGCAATTGATTTTCTTGAAGTTGTATATATGTTAGTTTTGTGAGGTTGAAAAATGATGATGGTATTTGACCAGTAAGGAAATTTCTTCCCATCGTGACCACACCAAGCTCGGTTAGGTTTGCAAGAGAGGGTGGGATTTCACCTTTTATGTTCATACCAGTTAGATGCAGTTCATTAAGTTTTGTTAGCTTGGCAAGCCAATTGGGCAAGCGTCCCTTTTTGAATTTGTTACCACCAAGATTCAAAACATTGAGTTTTAAAAGACTTGCCAATGAAGGAACAAAGCCTGTGAACTTATTGCCAGCAAGACTCAAGAAATTGAGTTGCGTCAAGTTAGAAAGCGAACCTGGAATGGTACCTGAGAAAGAGCAATCCGAAAGGCCCAATTTAAGCAAGCTGCTGTTATGAAATTCAGGAATGGAACCAATGAGGTTGGTATTTGATGCCACATCAAGTATTTCTAACTTTGGCATCTCAAGTATGGCTTTCGGGAATTCATTCTGAAGCAAACAATTATACAGCCCGATTGACCTCAAAGAAGAAAAGTTGGCTAAGAAATGAGGTACGGAAGAACTAATGTCAACCCATGAGAGATCGAGTTCTTCGAGTCCTGTTAAGTTTTGCAGTAGATTCTCGAAGCCACTAGGAGTTTGAAGCTTTAGTAGATTCATCGACAGATCTAAGGAAGACAGATGCATCAAGTGTGAGATTTCGTTTGGGATTTGGCCAGTAAACCCAGAATAAGAGAGATTGAGGGTTCTTAATTGCTTTAGATGAGCAATCTCAGATGGGATTTGAGATTCAACAAAGTTGTTCATGGCAAGGTTTAGGCTTTGAAGATGAACAAGGCTGAAGAGGGTGCTGGTAGAATTGATATGCCCGCAAAGAGAGCATTCACTCAAGTCAAGGCCGATCACATGACCATTTTCATGGTAATTTCTGCACTCAACCCCATACCACGAACAACAATCAAAACCAGCATCTGATGCATTGCTAGTTGGCTTCCAAGACTGGAAGGTTTGAAACCAACTAGCATTGCAAAGCGCATCATCTTGATGAATTAAGCTTTGCTTAAACTGAAACAAGGCTGAGCATTCCTCATCATGGCTAGGTGATGATCCTGTGCAGGTGAGTGTGAACAAAACGTATAAAAGGGAGATGGCTTGCAACAAGCTGAAGTGATTCATGTATGAAGCCATGAAAGAAAGTAGGTTTAATATTTTGATTGTCTATGGACGGGTAACGTTCATTATATAGACCTTCTCCAAGATTAGCAACCATACCTAGATAAGATGTCACGTGGTTAAGAGGGAGGGGAACCAATGAAATATTGTAGCTCAAGAATCAACTAATAAAACTAAAAAAATACGATATATAGAAGAGAAAATTATAGAATATAGACCAAATACAAGGAAAAAAGACCTTCGTTTATTTGCAAAAATTTAATAATAATCTAAAAATCTTGTATTAGTATCGTTTTTTCTGAAATCTATAAAAGTTGGAATGTTAAAAACAATTGATTTCTCTACTAATGTTTTCAGATAAATTAGTATATATTACTTTAATCTTTAGTTGTTCCATTTGTCTAATTTTGTGCTAAATAATAATAATAACCTAGCATCTCTTTAGAAAAGGTTCTGAATTAACAAAAGTTCAAAATTTATTGTATGCTTAACTATTAATTATTTCATAAAAATTTTGAATGTCAATTCAAATTACAATTTCCAACTGTGATGATTTAACAAATACACATGTCAAAGGTCATACGCATTAATTTCTTACCTAATAAATGATGAAAGTATTCAAAAGTTCAATATAGAATTAAAAATATATTACATTTGATGTAAAATAGTGATACAGATTCTTGAGAATTTAATATAAATGTGAAATATAAATATTCTATAAATAAAGAAAGAGTTTGATACAAATAATAATACATATATCATATGATATATGTATTTATTGATTATATATTTATTAATATTGTTATATATATACATATATGATTATATATTTATATATTTATTAATTGAGGTACCCAAAGTCACTATACTACGTCGTTTTATATCATATATATACATTGTGGTTGTCCAAAGTTCTTATAATTCAACTTTTAACTTGATTTATTTCCACGATTTTTATAAATTTCACATTTATCATTCTCTTATATAATTTTTATTTCTAATTAATATATATATATATATATATATATATATATATATATATATATATATAACAAAGTAGCTATTCGACAAAAATATGTGATGTAAGAAGAAGATAATAATGAAATTTTGAAAATCTTGAAAATAAATCAAGTTAGGGTTGAAATTTAAGAACATTATAATAAATATATCAAACAAAACAACGTATTATAATGAGTTTGGATACTTAAGCTTATGTATCCTTAAGTGTATATTGACTTTTCCCATATAATTAACAAATAAATAATTAAACTATATCAAAAAAAATATTTTTGAAATGGATGGCAGTCATGCGTGGCACACTTGGTAAGTGAAAGAGAGCAACAAAAACAGAAGTCTTACAAATATTTGTAAAATAGAACTGATCCATGGATCTTTTGGCGACTTGCTAGTATCTTTTTATTAATACTCGTTTTCTTCAAATTCTTTTCTTAATTCCTTCTTTTACAATACACCTAAAATATTATCTATAGTAAAAAAAAAAAAATTTAAAAATAGCCAAGTAGTAAGTCAACTATAGACGACTTCATGAAAGTCTTCTTTTTGTCCTTTTAGAACGTATAGCATAGACAAACACTAATAAGATGGAGCCCTCGACACAGCCTCACAACGTCCCTAATTAATGTGTTGGTTATTATTATTATATATTTATATATAATAATAATAATAATAATAATAATAATAATAAATATATATATAATAATAAAATGAGAAAGAAAACCAACACATTAATTAGGGACGTTGTAAGGCCTGTGTTGAGGGCTCCATCTTATTATATATATATATATATATATATATATATATATATATATATATATATATATATATAGAGAGAGAGAGAGAGAGAGAGGGAGAGAGAGAGAGAGTCAAGATCAAATAAGAAGGAAATTTTTGGTAGGAAGGTAAGAAGTTTTTTTCTACATATTTTTTTCGCGAACAAACAAAATGAATCATTAGATAATTCATTTGTAAGATGATTCACAAGAAAAAATTCTCAAAAAAACATTTCGATGATTCATTTATACAATGATTTTGTTGTTATTCACTAAAATTGTCATAAAAATGAATTTTTTCTTAATTTACTTAAAAATGAATCAAAAAGATGTATTTTTAGAAATTTTTTCTTATGAATCATCTTACAAATGAATCATCTTGATTCATTTATTTTTTTCGTCATAAAAATATGTAGAAAAAAAAATTCTTACCTTCCTATCAAAAAAAATTTCTTACTGGATCTATATATATATATATATATATATATATATATATATATATATATATATATATATATATATATATATATATATATATATATATATATATAGAGAGAGAGAGAGAGAGAGTTAGGTTCATGTGAGACGGTCTAATTTTGTGAGACCGTGAGACGCATTTTTTTAATTTTTTTAATTTTTTTTAGTTAATTCAAGTTCCGAAAATAATATTTAAAAAAAGAATTTTTGGATTTTCCATTTATTTTGCATTTTAAAATTATTTTTTTAGAACATGTCAGTGTAATATTCTATTAGAATATTTCACGTATTTTTCAAAAAAAAAAAAGGAATTTATTTTTATTTTTTTATTTAATTCAAGTTCCGAAAATAATATTTAAAAAAGAATTTTTAGATTTTTCCATTTATTCTGCATTTTAAAATTATTTTTAGATTTGGTCTCACGGTCTCACAAATTAGAATGGTTTCAAATGAACCTGAACCTATATATATATATATATATATATATATATATATATATATATATATATATATATAGAGAGAGAGAGAGAGAGAGAGAGAAAGACTAAGGTTCAATAAAGAACCATAATTAACCAATGAACCAATTGTGAAAGTTAGAAATTATAACGATCAACGGCCAAGGAAATAAATGTACACTTTTACATTGGACGCACACACACCAGATTATAACAAAAAATTCACCTTTAAAAAAAACTCACCACTTTTTTTCGTTTAAAATTTTTTAGACCATGTTTTTTATTGAAAAAACCGAATATACCGTTGTTCATAATTTTTCGTCATCTTTCTATAGAGATCCATGATAATATATAAAAAACAAACTTATTTTTTTCTAAAAAACCCACTTCATTTTCTTTGATGAAAAAAGTTAAGGTCTATTTTTCTATAGAAAAAAATTAATAAATATATCAAAATTCATATTTTTTTTTTTGTACTTTTTAAACAAATGTTCATATTCATGTTAAAAAAACGATATTTCAGTTGTGATTCAAATTGTGAACCTGTTTAGATTCATAAACCTCCTCAGATTCACAGTGTGCATAATAATAAGTCAGATTCACAGTGTGAATCTGAATTGATCGGAGTTTTTTCAAATTGTGAATTTTAAATTTGAAATATTTACAATTTAGATTTACAGTGTAAATCTACACTGATCGAAGTGTTTTTTTTTTTTTTTTTTTTTTTTTTTTTTGTGAATCTGAACTGTTCGAGATTTTTCATATTATGAACATTAAAAACTGAAATATTTACGGTTTAAACTCACAGTGTGAACCTACAATGTTCGAGGGTTTTTTTTTTTTTTTAAATCGGTGTTGATGTTTATTAATAGAGTACAAAAAATTAATATTTTTGTATAATTAGTTTTTTTTTTTGATAAAAATAAACTTAAATATTGAAGAAACTAAAAAAAATTAAGTGGGTTTTTTTCGAAAAAAAAAAAGTTAGTTTTTTATATATCATCATGGATCTCTATGGAAAGAGGACAAAAAATCGTGAACAATAGTATATTCGATTTTTTTTTTCGATAAAAGACTTGGCCTAAAAATAATTTTAAATGAAAAAAGAAAGTGAGTTTTGTTATAACCCGGTACATGTGGGTCTAGTATAAAAGTTTACAATCCTTCCTTCTGTCGTTGATAGCTTTAAATTCTGATGTTTTGGATTGATTCCTTTGTTCCTTGATTAATAATGGTTCTATATTGAACTTCTCTCTCTCTCTCTCTCTCTCTCTCTTTATATATATATATATATATATATATATATATATATATATATATATATATATATATATATATATATATATATATATAGAGAGAGAGAGAGAGAGAGAGTTAGGTTCAATTGTTTAAACTAAGTATTGTGTTAGTGTATGCATAAATGTAGATCAATTAAAAATAAGTAAAAAAGATTAAATAATTAAATAAATAAACAAGGGTATTTTAGTAATTTGATAATTAGTTTCCACAAATAATCCTAATAATCTTGCTAGCATTCAATTTTAACCTAATTTATTTTCTTATATACAGTCGATGTCTTCCATAAAAAAAGAATGAACTGAAACAAAAAAGAAGGGCTTTATTTCCCCGTGTTCATCACCTGACTAATAGATCGGGCAAAGATCGGGGAGAAGCATCGGGGTATTCCGATTTGACTATAATCATTCGTCTAGATTTGGAATACAAGCTCTGTTTATATCATCGAGGGGGTACAAAGCGCAAAACCCTAATTTGCTCACTGATACTCAGTCCCGTGAATTAACTCTCAAATCTTAATCTGTTCTGATTCTATCTATTTCATCGAATTCTTCCTGTGATGATCGCTTTGTGTTATCATCATCTATACTATGGCTGTGAAATAGAAAAAATCACCAAAATCAAGCCTCAAACTTCATAGCAGCCACGTTTCTCCTCTAAAGTTTGAGAAATTGTTCAATCCATAAGCTTTTTGGGACAAGGTTTGCTTTCTGAATTCAATCTATTTTTGTATTTCTCATAAATTTATGTATCAAATATGACCGTCACAATGTATTTCCATCCTTGATCATGTTACGTTATGGTAAAATGTCACATGTAAACCTTCGTCTGTAGGGGAATTTGATTTGTGATTTATTTCTAGGTTCCATGTTCTGTTGGTTTCCATGAATAAAATTTATGACACCTTATTAATTATGGTTAATTGTATCTGCAAACCAAACACGTGGCATCTCGCCGAGAATCGTATGGGCATAGATAAGTGAACGCTAGAATCTAGATGCAAGATTATGACACCTAACACTACTAGAAAAACAGCCTTTTACGACGCTCATTGCACGTCGTAAAAGGCTCAGACGACGCGCAAATGCGCGTCAAGGAAGGCCATGTCATAAAGAGAGACGACGCGCTTTTGCGCGTCATCTACAGACGACGCGCATTTACGACGCTCATTTACGACGCGCAATTACGACGCGCGTTTAAGACACGCAATGCGTATCAAGGAAGGCCCTGTCATAAAGGAAGACGACACGCATTCGCGTGTCGTAACCTTACGACACGCGTGTTAATGAAACGCAATGCGTATCAAGAAAGGCCCTGTCAAGAAAGGCCATGTCATAAATGAAGACGATACACATTTTTGCGTATCGTAATTTTAAATTTTTTTTAAAAAAAAATTATTTATAGATTTACTGATTTTCAAATTAAATTTGCATTTCATGTCTCACAATACAAAAAATACAATATATTGCACAAAATTTAATGTCATATAAATAATCATTCCAATAATAGACAAATGTAACATTTCAACATTTTTTTATATAATTAACTAAATTGTTCGCCAAATTTCCTAAACTACCAACATACTTTTCTATGAAGAGCATTAACACTATTCTTTTCCATCAAAAACTTCAAACCTGCATAATTAAATTAATGTTTAATCAGCTACAGGTCAATAAGGTAGATTTAAACAAAAGATTTTCATAATAGTAAGATTTTACTTACCACTGTTGTTAATGACATTGAAAGAAGCAGCCCAACAAATACCCCCTCAGAAGGATTACTACCACATAATTGTTGATATTTGATACTTTGTTACTAAATGAAACCAAAAACAAAGTTAAAAAGTAAACAAAATCAGAAGGTTTTAGTCAAACTTACAGAGGCTGTATTTCCAAATATTACTACATGACATTGATTGAACCATCTGCAGATTTACCATTTTGTCCCTATGAGATTCACTATTGAACACATTCTACAGTTTGTAAACTATAATATATATATATATATATATATATATATATATATATATATATATATATATATATATAATCATTGTGAAAAGCAAGAAATTAGAAGTGGAATGTGATTGCATACCATCAAACTATATAAAACATAAACAAATTAACCACTGCACATGTTAAATGAAAAAAGTAAAGCATATGATAGTAAGCAATTTAAAAAAATAGGAAAAACCTACCCGAGATTGAGAAAGAAAGGTTTGGTTCTGCTTCTTAGGTATTATTATAATGGATGAGCGGAGAGACATATATGATTCTGGTTATCCAAACATAATGGGCTCATTTTTTGGGTTGGACAAAAGAAAAGATTGCAATCTTTTTTTGTCTGGTCTCAATGGACGTCAAAGTAGTACAAGTAAGATAACTTCTGTTAATTATTATTTATTAGGTGAGGTCCAGTCTTGGACCATCTGTTGTACCATACATACAAAAATTACATATTATCCACAAATACATATTTATATATTTCAATTTTTATTATCATTAACACAATCTACTTTGAGCTTTTTGTTTTTCTTATTCATCTTTAGCATTGTACATTCAACATCTTATTAGGACCTAAATGTTTTCCATTTGGATGACATTGTGGTAAAAATTTTAAAGTAAAAAATTATAACACAAAGGAACGAAAGTAGGATGCTATAATAAAAATACATCATCATATATGCTATTTTTTTTGGTTCAAAAAACAATTTAAGAGGTTATAAACATCTGGTAAAGGTATGCTAGATCAACCCATTGGACCTACTTTTTTAGGTATATCTATCAATAAAATATGAGTATAAAAAACAATTCATTTGGTGCTAGTAAACAAGACAAGACACTCTTTAAAATGATATATCTAAAGAAATTATAAAAGCAAAAGCATACCTGATGAGAAGCATTAATTCTTGGCGCATCCCACCAAAGTTTGAACTGCTTCCGGCCACAATCACTGCTTTCTTAATATTTCCCACCTGATTGGTTAGTGGTTACATACCACACATAGAAAATAAGACTCATATCTATATTTACCAAAGTAATAAATTAAAAGATTTGTATTGTACCTGAATCGGAGCAGTAGTGGTCCACTTCCTTCGCTTTTCAAGTTCCACTTGTTTTATACCATACAAAGAAGGGTCTCTAGCAGCTACAAAAATAGTCTTTTCCAGCTCATCCACCTTCCCTATCACAAAAATTCATTTTCAGAACTCAAAACAGATTTCATCTTTCTTAATTTGTCTTGTATTTCAGATACATACCTGCCATTCAATGCTCTCGCAATTGGAAAGGAGTTCCTTTCTCAGCTAGGATTGCTCCCCGCTGACGCGTTCCCATTCATGAAAGCTGCCCTGGAGGCTATCAATCAAAAAATAAATGATTATAAGATGATAAAACACTAACATACTTTCCCTGTACCAGGAGGATCGTAGAGAAGAACAGCAGAGGGCTTACGTAGCCCAGATGAAAACAAATCTTTATGCAGAAAGGGGAGCTGTAAATGCATTACCAATATGTCACAACTTATGCCAAAGCTTACAACAACCAACTGGAATTCAAGATTCCATTCCTATGTAGTATGTACCTGAACTGTATAAAGAATAGATTTTTTCACATCTTCCAGCTCACCAACATCCTCCCACTTAACATTAGCGACCTACACACACATACACAAATCAAACTTATTACCCTGTAGAATAGATGTAATGCCACCAACCATTTTTTATTTTACACACCTTGGGATTCCCCAAAGCCGATGCATTCCTTTTCTTTGACCGCTCCAAAGCTTTGACCATGAATTCTTTGTTGTCACCCAACTTCTCAAAGCTACTGCCATTAATAGGAATCAAACTTGAACTAGCATCAGCAACTAAAGCCCTAATATCCCTTGGCATGAAACCAAAAGTCTGTCCAAACATATCTTTTACAACATCCTCTTACAAGTCTGCAAGGAGCATACATCATTCTTTAGATTTTAAGATAAATATATGTATACAGTAAAATGTTCTTATTCTTATTCTTACTTACATCTGGAACCAATTTAGGGATAAGGTGAAGTGACTGGGATAGCATTTCCACTCTCTGGTCTTCGGTCAAACCTCCCATTTTCGTTTCATGGCTGAAACAACGCCTAATTGTAGGTGGCAACCCTTCAGAGTTATCAGCAGCTGCAACTAGCAGCACAAGATGGGTATTAACCGTGTTCATATGCTGCATAATGAGAGTAAAACAATGAGCAACCAATAGATAATTGACATGTTTTTATGGCAGAAATCATCATCTCAAAACATCAACCTCTGCTTCTTCTTCTTCATCTTCATAATCATCATCTTGTCTAAATGGCTCGGTGAATTCCCTAATGACAGATGCAACTTCAGAATTCATACCAACTTGATCATTTTGTGAACCATCATTAGAGCTCAAATTGCCGAAAGCTTCAAAATTTCTGAAGAAGAAGCCCTAAGCAGCTGCATATCCATGAACCATAACAAGAGTTAGTGAATCCTCCTTGCTGTCGAAGGTGAAAATGTTGATAAATCTTGGTTCATTGCTGGAACAACGAAACCTGAGATGCATGGAGTGTGTGCAACTGTTAACAAATTATCAGAATGGGATTGAGAAGCAGAAAAGTACGGGGGGACGATCTCGCACCTAAGAAATCAAACAAGAATGAGAATAAGGGAGAAGGAACAAAGAATACCTGAGATGCATAAAGAGTAAAACTGGGGATCGTGGAATGAAGAGGAGATCGCGGTCTCCTCCATAGGGATGTGAACGAACCCTAACAAATCAACTCCGAAAATATAGGCATCTTTCACTTAGATCGATTGAAGATAATGAAATCGACTGGAGACATTGAAGCGAACGATTGAAGATAGTTGAAGAGATAAGAGTATAACAATATCAAGAAATATTACCTAAAACTTTGAATCAACAATGCCATGAAATCGAACCGGAGGGTGAAGAAGGTGCGACTTCATCCAAGTTCTCATCGTCTGAATCAATTAGGGATTTAAATCTGGGTTTTTTTCTATTGGGCGTTTTAGGGATGATGTGCTAGGGTTTTTCCAGGATGATGAGTTAGGTAGGGTTCAAAATCGAATTGAAATATCGGGGCTTTATATGAATGAATGAAATATGAAACAGCGATTTGATTTTCATGTTAAATATTTTCCGAATGAATAAGAAGATGATTATGGTGAAAGAGAAGGGTGGAGAGAAAGGTAGGAGAAAAGTAGAATGTGTGGATTGATTTCATGAGGGTTGACCCACTCATCATTGTTAGCTTCCATCCCTAAAGTCACCGGTGTGGCGTCTATTTTCTTTGGAGCCACCGTCGCTGCCATATTCTTTCCCTCAAGCCAGAATCTCTGCGAAGATCAATGAGATGAGACAACATTTGTTGCAGCCATGGAAGATCTCTACGAAATTGCAGATTGGGTTTTAGGTTAGAGAAAGAGAGAAAGAGAGAAAGCGAGAGAGAGAGAGGGGGGGGAGACGAAGACCCTAGGCTTCTTTCTTGGTAATTGGAATAGGAGGCGGGGTTTTAATTTTTGAGATTTCATTTCCCGCTTGAAACGCGTGTTTCATTAAAAAAATATAAAGCGACACACTTACATGACGCACATCTTATGAAAGGCATCCTCCGTATTTCTTTTTTTTTTCTTTTCTGACACTAAGTTTAGGGCTTGCACAAAAAGCACATCCTCTATCCTTCAAATTTTAGAAGAGATGACATTATTTTTGGGGCACACACTTTTACGTATCGTAAATCACCGCGTGTCATTGTTTGCGCGTCATTAAAGGTCTTTTTTCTAGTAGTGTAATTAATATAGGGTTTAATGTTTGCGCTAATAAATTTATATGGTTATTCTGGTACATAACAAATTCAGAAGGAAAATAAGATGATCATAACTATGAGTACGAATAGGAGTTTCATGAAGCTTCTTTATGGAAATTAAAAAGAGAAAATTTGCTATCAAGTATCAATGTTAGCTGACTCAACTTTGGCTATTATCTATTTATACGACTTGAATTTAACCTGAGTTACCTTATAAGCACTAACTGTCTATCAATCTTGGTATGAATGAATGAAAGGATATATCGGGGATAGATTTTTGGGAAAATGGAAAAAATAGCAACATTCTTTTTTTTAATCCATGATAGCAACATACTTATATTCATGTTTATTAATAACAGTCTTGCTTTAATACTTACTTATGTTCATGTTTATCAATAACAATCTTGCTCTATTGGAATGGAATCACGAATTCCAATTCTATTAGAATGGAAAGACGAATTCCAATTATGTTGGAATCACAGATGTTGATGCTTGAAGAACAGACCACAAAATTGAAATGTACCACATTATTTTTTAGATTGTATTAGTCGTTGTTAGATTTTGATGTTTTCTTTTCCATTTTGATTGTTTTTTTGTTTTATTCCTTAACAGTGAATGTAATTCTTAACAATTGTTACGCGTATTCTATAAAAAATAATGTGTTTTTTGTTTTTATTCTTCAATTGATTATTCAAGGATTTTTTATTCTATAAGAAGTTTTTAAATTCATGATCAAGAAATAGGTTCAAGAATATTTTTATTATTTATGGTTCAAGAATATTTTTATTTTTGAATATACTCATAAACATATTCTGTCAGAATGTCCGAATTAAAAAAATTATAATACGTAAAATCGGATTTTTAAAATTAATACAATCTATGATCCATTAAAAAAAATGCAATTTTCTTTTATTAAATCTATATTAATTGACTAAATTACCCTTGTAATTAATTAAGATGATATTTTCAATTATATTTAGGGGGTGTTTGGATTAGATTTTTAACTTATTGCTTATAGTTTATTTGTGGTGGGAATAAGCAATAAGCACCTCTTTTTTTCCTATCCAAACACCCCCTTAATGCAATATAATCACTTTTTTAAAATAAGTAAATTTGATTGGCCCACATTTATGCATACAATAACACAATAATTACTTTGAATAGAATAACCTAAGCATATATATATATATATATATATATATATATATATATATATATATATATATATATATATATATATATATATATATATAGGTTTAGGTTCTATAGAAAATAAAAAACCCTAAAAATCATAAAAATGCATATTTTTCAACATACAAAGTTAATTCGAGCACAACCGATTATAGAGCAACATATAACACGTATTGAATTCCAACATTTGGTTATACCCTTACAGACTCATGGTGAGCAGTTAGCACCTGAAGCTGTCCTATTTGCCTAAAATTGTGAAATCAGAATCAAATGTAAATAGTCAAGTTCTAATAAACTATAAGAGGGATTGAAGAGTATAAGTATTTATCTTTATTTGTTATTCATTTATTTTCAAATTAAGGGTTAATACCTGAACTTCACTTTAATAAGAACTCCGTCATGTTCATCTGTGAAAACACAAAAATCAAATCAATAAAGTCGCTGATGAATGTATCATAAAATTCCAGGGGTATTTTGAAGATGAACAAGGCTGAAGAGGGTGCTGGTAGAATTATCTTTTGCTCAAGTCAAGGCCAATGACATGACCATACTCATGGTCATTGCTGCACTCCACACCATACCACGAACAACAATCAAAACCAGCATCCGATGCAATGCTTCTGGGCTTCCAAGATTGGAACGTTTGAAACCAACCAGTAGCACAAAACTCATCATCTTGATGAATTAAGCTTTGCTTACACAGATACAAGGTGGAGCATTCCTCATCATGGGTTAGTGATGATCCACTGCAAATGAGGGTGACCAAAAAGTAGAAAAGGGAGATTGTTTGCAACAAGCTGAAGTGACTCAAGTATGAAGCCATGGAAAAAGGGTTTGAAATATTTTAATTGTCTGTGGACGTGCAATGTTCTTTATATAGACCATTTGTATGTTGTTCAACCATAAATGAATAAGACAAGCACTATCTAGAGAGAAATGAAGCATGACTCCCCATAGTGGAAAGATAATAAACATATTGCTTTTGCTTTAGCTAGGTAAATGAAGAATCAACTGCTAAGCCAAAGAAAAAAACTGGGGAAAGAAAATATGGACCAAATACATGAAATGATGATATATTATTATTTATTATGTTTATTATAAAAATATGTTTTTAAGCATTTTGTATTTTTTTATTTCTTAAACTTTAACAAAATTTTCTTTTTCAGCAATTCGTGGCCTAGCTTTAATAATTGCATTTATGGATAATGTCATTAAATAGTAACCAAGTTTTAAATTTGTTCCACATAAGCACATCAAATCTTTGCTTGAACTAGCTTAATTAACCACCCAAGTTTTTTTAATTCCTCTGTTATGAACCAGTATACCTTTTTGTTTCATTTCTATGTAGTTTGAAAATAGAAATACCAGCTACGTGTTCTTATGGATCTTGTTTCACAATGGTCCTATTCACTTTCTTAGGGATGAGAAATGAAGGTTCACATTGGTAAAATGAAGCACAAATAGTAGAGAAAACTTTTCCATTTAGTTTTTATGTGTTGATAGTTCCTTGATTCTAGCTTGTACGCTTTAGCTATTTATAGATTTTATATGTAATGTTCAGGGTTAGGAGTATGTAGAGGGTTATAAGAAGGGGATCAATTATTGTGGCACTGAATGTTGCTCATCCGGCTCTTAAAGAAGGTACTTTTGACTTTTTGTTACTATTTCATGACATAGTCGCTTGTTTTTATTAGAGCATGGGTTGGCCTAATCTGATTGTGGACATTAATTAATTGGCCTTTTGACATATAATTCTAAAGGGGAAAATCAACTTTCCCCTTTTTTTGAACAACAAAAACCAACTATTAAAAAAATCCTCTACCGGTTTGTTGTTTACATTTGGGTTTTTGTTTTGGATGAAAATTATTTGATTCACCGGAAACCCCCGAACAACACCCCTTATTGCTTGTTACCCTTATTTTTATACACTCGGTGTACATTCAAAGATGGATGAAATTGCTTGTTACCCTTATTTTTATGTAGGTTGGGCTGCTTTTGCCATCTTTTGTTTACCATTTTTAAAATATAAACTTAAATTAATCCCCCTTTTATTATTATTATTATTATTATTATTATTAATCTCTTATGAATTTGATATTATTTTGATTTTTAACTTTTCTTCCTAGAATATATTTTAACCCAAAACACTTAGAAGTCAAGAACATATTACACACGTGTGAACACCATTATTCTGGTTTACCATCATAGTCAATCCACTTGTAGTGTGAACATTAATGGCGGTCCACAAACCAAAAAAACAAGATACAATGGTCATGTATTGTTTTCCTCCAAGTGTTCTTGCTAGAGCTACAGGAACAACCACATGCAAACTGTTGAACCTTTAGAGATATTAACAAAAAAAAAAAAAAAAGTGTGTAGTATAAGTTGCTCCAGACCTCTGCTAGGCGTCTACAATCGCTAATTTTTTGCAAGAACTTTTCCCAAAATCAAACCCAATAAGCTTTATGGTTTTCCCAAAAATTCATATATTTTTTTTTTCAAACATTTATTTTTAACTTTTTTGTTGTTAATTGTATAAAAACAAGTTAGTTCTAACATTAATCCATCCGGTTCCAACACTAATATAAGTCCACATGCTCACCAATTATATTAAATCCCACATTCATTATTACCCCATACACTCATGAGATTCCACAACTCAATTGAAGTTCTTCTGGCCCTAAGCATAACAATGCAAAATCTAATATTATATTTTTGAAGCATCAACTTCTGAACTATGATCTTTATATAAAAAAATAAATAACACATTTAAGAAAATGTGAAAAATCAAAAAATATAAATATGTGGACCAATTGATTATATTGATCTATATATTTACTAACTAAGTATTTTAACTATTTTTTTATAAGAATAAAAATAGAACTAAAATCAATAATATTCAATAGTTATATTATTTTGAGAAAAAACATCATAAATGGTCTCTGTGGTTACCCAAAATCTGAAGTTTAGTCCCCGTGGTTTAAAAACCTCATAAATGATCCCTGTGCTTTCAAAACTTTTGACGATTGGTTTTTATTGCTAGCTCCGTTAAATTTTGTTCGTTAACTAAAGGGTATTTTCGTCATTTCACTACCATAGGGACCATTTGTGATGTTTTCACTTATTTTTTTTAAAAGAGAATAATATGCAGATGGTCCTCTCTCTCTCTCTCTCTCTCAAACCAACCCACCCACCTTTGTCTTTCTCCCTCGTCTCCAAGAAATGACGAAGAGGATGAAGAAATGACGAAGAGGAGGAAGAAAGGAGATTAGACCATGATTTAAGCTAATTTGAGCAGGTTTGGAGAGTTCAGTCGATGATCAGGAGACATATATACACAAGTTTGTATTTATATGTCTTTTCTATATTATTATCACCATCTTCATCTATTTCTGGTTTGAAAATGAGACATAGATCTCCCCTGCCAACTAATTGGTCTTGATGTATTCGATTTCTTGATTTTCTGGGTATTGCAATGATTGAATTCAAGTCCAAGTTATGATTAGATATCACATGATCTTTTGTACATTAGGTGATGTTTGAGGGTATGATTTGGATGAGATTTTTCTTTCAGGCATTTCATCGAACATATGTTGTGCAAGATTCATTTCCATTCTTTTATCTTATGTTGTGCAAGACTCGTTTCCCTTCTTTTATCTGTTTTATGCACATGTCTTAGATCCATCCTTGTCTTCAAATATTCAATTTTGTAAACAAAAGAAACAAGTTTATAGGAGTGCAGATGAGTGATGTTGTCGATGAGCTCAACTTTTGATTAGAACCCAAAACAGAAGAATGAGAGGTTAAGCTCTTTTTTGTGGTTGTGGTACAATCAAAGAATCAACTGATCGATTGCATAATTCCTTCAAAGTAGAGAATGAACAGGTAGAGTTATAGTTTGTCAACAATCCTAACAATCATCTTCCAAACTTCTTGCTAAGTCTGATTCAATTTGTATCCAATTGGTATGCTTCTCCATTTCATTGAAAACATTGAGACTGATTCATGGAAATCAACAACTTTAATGGCAACAATAATACCGATTTATCTTGCCAATAGTTTGGATAGTTCAACTTCCAACTAAACATTTATTGGCCAACAAACAAATTCGCTGAAAAAGCCGAGTCAAAGATTTGGGTTTACTTTATGTTAGACAACAAAAGAAACTTAAATTTCGTTATATTTCATTACATTGGTTTTAAAGAGAGAGAGAGAGAGAGAGAGAGAGAGAGAGAGAGAGAGGACCCATCTGCATATTATTCCATTTTTTTCTTTAAAAAAATTGAAAACATCATAAATGGTCCCTGTAGTAGTGAAATGACGTAAATGTCCTTCAGATAACGGACAAAACTTAACGGAGTTAGCAATAAGGACCAATCGTCAAAAGTTTTGAAAGTACATGAACCATTTATGAGGTTTTTAAACCACGTGGACTAAACTTCAGATTTTGGGTAACCACAGGGACCATTTATGATGTTTTTTCTTATTTTGAACATAGTATAAAAATTAAAGGGTATAGCTTGTTAAAAATAAAAGATAACATTATTTATTTATTTAAAGTCATACATATTAATACATTGAAATTAATAAAAATATAAGATAAATATTGTAAAAATAAAAGAAATAATTAAAAAGGTGTGTATAAAACTAAGTGGTGGAAATTAATAATTAAACAAATTTGGGTGGAAATGGTCATTGGAGAAATGTCCACTATGGTTCTAACTTCTTTGATGGGTAAAAGGATTTTAAAATGTATCATTTGGCTGGTGTGCAGTGTGCTTTATTTTTCTCTATATTAAATCTAATGTACTTATATATTTTTAAATACTAGCAATGATTTATTTTGCACCAATATTAGCATTGCACTGTATTTGTTACATATTGCTATTATCAATAAACAAATATTGGTACGTGGCAATTATGAGGAAGACACAGTAAGAATGTTGCTATTATGTTAAATAAAATATAAGTAAGTTGGTATCATGATTCATGGATTACACATTTCTATCAACTATAAAAAGTTGTAAGTACATAGCTGTTATTGAAAAAGTGTTCAAGTTCCTTGCTATTATGGGTGAAAAAAATAAAGTACATTGTTTATTTTGGTTGGAGTAACTATGTTGCTATATCCAGCAATTTTTACCCTTTCTTCTCAAGACCATTGAATGGATTAATTATCTCACACAGATCAATTGAGTAAAATTAGAACAAAATTTAAGTTGTGTTCATACAACTCGAAATTTTCTAGCTGTTACATTTTGGACTAAAAAATTATTTATTGAAATATTGTAAAGAAAGTTATGTAATTTGGGAAAATAATGAAAGGTTGTCCAGCTCAATATATGCTGATTGGGATATGAAGTGATAATATCAAAAGCATTGAGGTTTAATTACGAGAAATATAAAGTTGGAGACAATCTGTAATTTATGAAAGTTTAAAATCATAAATACGTAATTATTTAATGGAGGTGTTAGGCAGTAGACACCAGACATGAATCGAGAAGGAAAGAAGTGAAATACTCAGTAATTGGAAGTCAACAGTATAGCAATATTGGTTCTTCTGGGTCGGATACAGAAGATCGGTTATGCAAGGTATGTGTATTGAATTGATGAATTGGTTTAATTTTGTTCAAACTGGTGTTAAAAGTATGGTTAATAGGTAAGATGTATCCTTAATCAAGCCACAAAATCAACCCAAAAGGGATATGAATGAAACAAATGATTGACCTAGATTGCATCAGATTTTGGTAGTTGTCATATAGGGTTATTGTTGATTTGTTGTATAAACTGATGTTACCTAAATTGCATCAGATTAAGGCTCGGTATTTTTAAAAAAGCATGGAAGAAACTGGACAAAACTGATGTACACTAGGGCTTATTTACAAAATTGTAGAACTATATTGAATGACCGGGACTAAAATCAAAAGAAATACAGAACGATCTTGGCTATCAAGAGTCCAAGATACTAGCTTAACAAGGAAAGTTACCAAATTGCCCTTCAGTAATCTTTTATTATATTTCTGGTACTTCTACTTATTTCTCTTAGATCTACTAAGAAGTAAAACAATACCCATCCCCCAAAACGTATACCTTGCCCTCAAGGTGAACATTTAGAACCTTTAAGAACCAACCTCTATTAAATGGTAGCTCCCCAAAATGTTGAAGTACTTCATCCTTTTTAACCATGTCCATCATTTGAGTTTTAGCTTCTTTTTTAGTGTCTTTTTCTTCCATGGCTAACATCTCTTCTTTATCATCTTCTTCCTGATTTTGGAATGCTAACCCACTTAATTCCTTCCTCTTACAATGATGTCCTCGAAAGAACCTTTCATCACACCTATAACATAGGCCTTTAGACTTTTTTTTTCTCTCAAATCTTGATCTAACAGTCTTCTATATATATGTGCCCAGATTCTTTTCATTAGTAATGGTGTTTCCAGGAGTTATGGTATTCCTACTTTTTGACTCATTACACTAAAAAATTTCAATTATTGTTCCCATTCTTTACACTTTCATATGCATTTAGGATTTTATTTTTCTCTTCAATTTTATTTGCAATATGCATTGCATTGCATCGGACAGGTTTGTAGGGGATAAAAGTCTTAATTCCACCTTGATATTAGATGTTAATTCATTTACGAATTGACTTAAGAAACCCTCACCAGAGATACCTTCAAATGGGGCAACCAATGACACAAATTTCCTGTGATACTCTGTTATGGAACCTTCCTGCTTCAATGCTAGAAATTATTCATAAAGAGAACATGTAGAAGTGGAACGGAATTGCTTCAACAGGAGGGATTTCATCTCCTACCATCTTGTTCTCGGTTTTCTCCTATTTTCCCACTGGTACCATCGAAGCACATCACCTTCAAAAGAAATTACACCAACTTCAATCTTCTCTACATTGTTAAGTCGATTCAAACTGAAATCAAACCTTAGAAACCATCCATCGGGATCGGAACTGTCAAACACCGGAATCACATCAACTTTCATGGACCTATGGACCGTGTGATCCCTAGTCTATAAATAGGGATAGCTGTTAGTTATTTATTTGTACCTTGAATTTTAGTCAGTAGATCAATCTTTGTTAAATTGTACTTATAATCTCTATTTGAAAACTCTCGAATAAGATTACTCCCTCCTACCGTGGAAATAGGTCACCTTGACCAAAACACATAAATATTATGTCTTCGTGTATGTGGTGTAGCGAGTTATCAACTTTACTTCCTAGCAAGTGGTATCGGAGCTTGGCAGGTTATGTTGATGAATTGTACTTGTAATCTTTGTTTGATTCCTAACAATTATGTTGATGAAAATTACAAATAAAATGTTATATTGGTATATTTTATTTTTCAACTTAAGTATTAAAATATGTATTTTTTGGAAGATAAATACCAAAACCATAATCTTCAAAGTATGTAGGGTTAAATGAAAAATGGTTGAAAGTATGTTTCATTTGCATGCATTTTTCCTTGAGCCAAACAACATAAACATTGGAGATCTTACTAAATGATATATCAAAAATCTTACAATGAAACAATTGAAAGCAACATAGTCTTAACATAAATATACACATACCTAAAGGTAATACGCATTAAAATCCTTTGAAAATCCTATGTACCTTCTCCATGCCCTTGGAACTTTAAGCTATAGCAAGTCCTGAAATACATGCTAAGGTAAGGTTTATGTTTTTAAGTTCACATTTTTTATTTATAGAAAATAAAGCATTCACGATCATAAAACATGCATGTCAGAAAACCTTGTACCTTCGTTTCTCCTCGTGTTACGAAGTGGCCTTACCCATCTGTCCTTCCTCTTTCTGAACCTATCATAATACTTTGTATATAGAACGTTTCCAAAAACAATGCCAACAACCATCCCGCTTCCAAATCCACAGAATATGATGATCCAATCAATTCTTTCGCTTGGGAGGAGAGAAACAGCCTCAGATGTATTGCTTGCTGGTGGAAGTATTGATGCCTTCGAATCTTGACATTCCTTAGATAAAGGATGTCCACACAACCATGGATTCCCCTTGTAGGAGCTGTAGTCAAATGTATCAAATTGTTTCCCTTGGGGTATGCGTCCATCAAGATGGTTCATTGACACGTTGAAAATGGAAAGAAAGCCTAGTTGCACCAACTGTTGAGGAATTTCTCCGGATAGCTCGTTTTGGGAGAGATCCAATGATTCAAGATTCTTCAGGTACCCTAACGATGGAAAGATATGCCCGGTAAAATGATTGTTGGAAAGATTGAGTGATTCAATCCCTTGAAGATCTTGGAGTGATAGCGGGATTTCTCCTTCAAAATCGTTGCAAGAGAGATCAACAGCAGTGAATATGGTTAAAATCTCTTCGTACTCTCTTTTGACACCTTTGTATATTAATGTCATCGTGTATGGCGACTTTGTGTTGAATGAGCTGAAGGACATTGTTGTTTCCAGAACAAATGATTCTCCAATTGATTTCATAGCTAAACACGTGTGGAAGAACTTATGGTGCAATCGACCACTAAAACGGTTGTTAGAAAGGTCTATGATCCGCAACTTAGGGAACTGTGAGCAAGCAGTTGTTGAACCTTGAATTGGACCATGAAATTTGTTGGACCGCAAAACAAGAACTTGAAGCTTGGGGAGAATTCCCAACCAAGAAGGAAAAATGTCATCGAACGAGTTGTCTCCAAGAGAGAGAACCTCTAGATTGGTACAATTTGTCAGTGATCGTGGTAGCTGACCCACAAATCTATTCTCACTCAAATCAATACTTTCCAACAGGCTTCCATGCCTAAATGCATTCATCATTATGCCATGAAAATTATTTCGTCTCAAATTTAATTCCACCAACGAATTGCTTAAGCTGCCTAAACATGAAGGAAGTGTTCCACTCATGTTATTAGAAGACAAATCCAACTCTCGTAGAGATTTCAATTCACATAACCATGGTGGTATTTCTCCAGTCAGATTATTGTTTGAGACACCATAAAGAACCGTGGTTTGTGGTGGAAGTGGTAGCTGCCCCTGTACCTGATTATACGAGATGTAAAATCCTTGTAAACGTTTCCATGGGAGAAAATGAGGATGCTGATGAAAGCCAGTGATGGAGTTGTACGAAAGGCTAATCAGCTGTAACGTTTCTTGGCTGTTGTTCAATATCCACACAGGTACCATGCCATGAATTTTGTTGTGTCCGAGAAGTAAAATCCTCAATTTTTGTTGGAATCTCAAAAATGAAGGGAATTCCTTCAAGTTGCACGATTGAAGTTCTACATCTTTCAATTCTGGTAAGGTGCTATTCGAGTAGTTCTTGGTAGCCACTAAAGATATCCTGTTAAAACCCAATGTGAGAGTTTCGAGCTTCTTAAGTTGTAGGAACATGTCTAAGTCTACCTTACCGCTGAAATCGTTCCACTGTAGACGAAGATGTTGAAGACTTTTGAAGTTCGAAAATGAGCTTGAAATTGGTCCTTGCAATTGGTTTTCTTGAAGGCTTAAAATTCTTAGTTGGCTGATGTTGAACAACGAGGATGGTATATGACCTGTAAGAACATTTTTTCCCATTTGGAGCACACTAAGTTTGGTTAGGTTTGCAAGAAAGGGTGGGATTTCACCGTTTATGTTCATATCAGCTATATAAAGTTCATTAAGTGTAGTCAGCTTGCCAAGCCAACTAGGCAAGTATCCCTTCTCGAATTTGTTACCTGTAAGTTCCAAAATATTGAGTTTCGAATGACTTATCAATGAAGGAACCAAACCTATGAACTTATTCATACCTAAACCTAAGTAAGTGAGTTGTGTCAAGTTAGAGAGTGAAGCGGGAATGCGCCCTGAGAAAGAGCACTTGGTAAGGCGCAAGATTATCAAATGATTTAGTTTGCTTATGGAATTTGGTACAATCCCAAAGAAGCCAGTCAAACCTAGATTCACATATTCAAGTAAGCTGTTGTTATGAAATTCATGAAAGGAACCAAAGAGGTTAGGATTGGATGCCACGTCAAGAATTTTCAACTTTGGTAGCTGAAATATTGCTTCAGGAAATTTATTCCTAAGCGAGCAGTTTTTTAGCTTGATTGATCTTAAAGAAGAAAAGTTTGTCAATAAATGAGGTACAGAAGAACTAATGTCAACCCCCGAGAGATGGAGTTCTTTGAGCCCTGTCATGTTTTGCACTAGATCCTTGAAGCCACTAGGACTTTGTAGCTTTAGTGGATTTTGTGATAGATCTAAAGAAGACAACTGCATCAGCTGTGAGATTTCATTTGGGATTCGGCCAATAAACCCAGAATCAGAGAGATTGAGACTTCTCAATTGCTTTAGACGAGCAATCTCAGATGGGATTTGAGATTCATAAAAGTGGTTAAGTGAAAGGTTGAGATTCTGAAGATGAACAAGGCTGAAGAGGGTGCTATTAGAGTTGATATGCCCGCAAAGAAAGCTTTCACTCAAGTCAAGGCCGACCACATGACCAGACTCATTGTCGTTGCTGCACTCCACCCCATACCACGAACAACAATCAAAACCAGCATCCGATGCATTGCTTCTGGGCTTCCAAGATTGGAATGTTTGAAACCCAAGAACAGCACAAGCTGGATCATCCTGATGAGTCATGCTTTGCTTAAACTGAAACAAGGCTGAGCATTCATCATCATGGCTAATTACTGATGATCCTGTGCGTGTGACTATTACAAACACGTATAGAAGGGAGATGACTCTCAACATGTTGAAGTGATTCAAATATTGAACCATGAAAGGATGGTTTAGTATATTAATTGTTTGTGAGTTGTGACATGTGATAGCATAATATAGACCATCTATGAGTTTAACATTCAGCCATATAACTAGATTAGAAATGAACGTTCTGGACATGGAGATGACTTATGAGTCACCAATATCAATCATATAAAAATGGCTATGTGTAAGGTGACAAAGAAAGATGATGACTAAAAAGAGGGAAAAGAAGGATAAATAAAAGGCAGTTGAAGAATCAACTAATAGAGCCAAGAAAGAAAGACTTTGACTAAGAAATGTTGACTAAATATAACAAAACAACAATTTATCATTCAATTGATTGAATTTGTGTTGTTTGTATGCCTAGGATCATTTAAGATAATCAAAGAAGTACCTTTCAAAGTTCAATTTACGTGATATGATGGTTTAGATCAACTTTTGTATTTGAAACTATTAATTAGACTCTGTAATTATCTTGTAGATATGATTGTAATCCTACAGAAACTTTCACAAGATATTCATTGTTGTAACCTGAACCAATGATTGGTTGTTGTTTATTCTGCCCCCCTTTTTGGTATTTTCTAGGAAGAGCCTATTGACCCATTCCACTATTTTGCAATTTGAAGATTAAATGCAGCACAAAGTTCAGGCCATCAAAGCCCAACTTCTCAATACTTCTGCAGAAGGGCAGAGGAATTTGATGATCAAATTCAGTGGTTTCTTTAGAGATAGAAATTAATGTGAATATATCCTTCCATTAAAATTGAGTTTTATATTGATTGCCATTGCTGAATTTGAATATTCTTCCATAAATGTTGTCTACTTTAATACTTTTGATGGTGAGAAAATATACAATCAACACAAATTCAATGTGCATGTTGTTGCGCACATTGTTTTCTATTTTCATACAAGTTTTTTGGTTCGAGTAATTAGGGTAAAGCACATTGAAATCTTTCAAGAACCTTTCCTATCATGAAAGCTACTGATGTTGCCTCAAGAGCACTGGATGCGCGTTGCTAAATTTCCCTGAATGCCAATGGATAAAAATTTGTTGCTAAATTTACCCTAAGATACTAAAAGATGAAAATTAAATCGGTTAACTATCATTAACGATAATGTGTCACACTAAAGGATCACACTTTTGTCATTTTTGAGACAAACTAGCGATGGAAATCCGGCTCTAATAATTAGTGACTGATTGTAAATTATAAAACACCAAGTTCACCTGCTACGACTTTCTAAGGGCCTCGCTGCCAACAAAGACACCTTAGAATACAAGGTTGCTGGTGTTTTGTGAGGGATTTCTTGTTGTTTAATTTGATGATTGTAAGTATTTGAAACTTGAGATACACATACAGAGAACTTCTGACCCTTATATGATTTGTTTGTCTTCTAAACTAAATTTTTAAAGTTTACTTATTTGACTAGTTAAAAATAAAAATATAACACTCATTGATTCATTATGTGGTCCTATGGATGGCTTCTAAGTTCTAACCTTCACATATACTATTGGTGGGGAAAAATCTTTACTTTCTCAAAATATGTAAATGAAAATGGTCTAATTAACATAATACAAAACTTCAAAAATGGTCCCTGTGACCTTTGAAAATATCAAGTTTAATCCCTAAGTTCAAAAAACCTCACAGATGGTCCCTGTGGTTTCAAAACTTTTAACAAACAGTCCCTTAGCCACATAAAAAGACTAATATGCCCTTTCTATTTCTTTTTAGAATTAAATTTACCTAATCTTATTTAAAAAAATAAAAAGACAAAATAAATAATTCATTGGGCCCACCTTCTCTCTCTCTCTCTCTCTCTCTCTCTCTCTCTCTCTCTCTCTCTCTCCATAAAAAACGAACATCGTCTTCTTCATCTGTTTGGGGATTTGGAGGAACGAACAAATCGGAAGCGATGAGAAGTTTCGATGGTGGTCATTCAAATCACGAGGAGAGACAGAGTCATCGATCTCCGGCTACCCTCTGAGGCTTTAACTTGCATCATCACCGGTTGAGAGCTAAGGGAACAGGTCTCCGTCTTCGTTTGTTCGGAGAAGCTGCAATCACAAATGGAAGGCTGCGATCAGGAAGCTCCGATGGTAGAGTGTGGTTCTGCAGTAGTTAAGAAGTCACAAGGGGGAAAAGGTGGATGCGGCTATAATGCTCGAAGAGGGAAGAGCAGTCGGTTTTTCCGATGAGCTCCTTCTCGGCTGATAGCTCACTCATCGGAGTTGTGGCTTCAAATCACCAATAGTAGGCAGAGAGAGGAGGTGTTGGAGGTGACGGAGAACCAAGTGAGGATGGCTGGGGAGTTGTAACAGCTTGCTAGTGTATCGAGTCTTCTTCCTCTCACTTTATCGAAGCCAAAATTGAGGACCACTACAAACGAGGGGATGTTTTGAGTTGTTAATCGATAGGGAAGAATGAGGGAGGAAGGAGAGAAACTGAAACAGGGGCGGTAGCCTTGGTTCGTCGAATTCTTTCCTCACAAACACCCCCACCTGCTGTTGTTTTCCATTCTTGCTTCTCCCTTCTCGATCAGACGAGGATCGAAAAACCTCCCTCGATTTATGCCTTCGCTTGATGTCTGCTGGTGTTATTGCTTTTAGGATTGATTATCGAAGAAGGAGATGGAAAAGGGGGGTTGTTTCAAAATCAAGAGGTGATGTTTCAAAATCAAGAGGCTTGGGCTATAAACTAGTTTATTGAAACAAATAAGTATTAAAGCCCAATAGTTTAATTTAAAAAAATCAGATGTAAATCTAATGGTTGACTTCTCAATTGTCGACAGTCAACTCGACGACTCGTCTTCTGTTTCTCATCAGATCGTCGACATTGCAACCTTACTCGTCTCAATTGTCGTTGCCTGTGGCCTTCCGGAAGGAGAATTTCGGCCACCTCCTCCTCCTCCATCACAATGAAACAAGTTAGTATAACCAAAATACTCAATCTTATTATGTATATAGGTTAATTCCAATTCCAATTTTTTGTCATTATGTTTTAGAAGGTAACAATTAACTTTGTTAAATTAGGGACTTAGGGTTATACTTAATGATTATTTGTTGTTGCAACTTGAAATTAAGTTATGGTTGATATATTTTGATTGTAGATTTCTATTTTCACATTTGTTGTTGAAACTTGGAATCAAGTTTATAGTAGATATATCTTGATAATTGATAATTTGATTGTATGTTGTTATTTGTTAACTGTTGTTGAAACTTGAAAATTGAAATCAAGTTCATAGTTTATATATTTTGATTGTAGGTTTCTATTAAAAGTTTTTTAAAAAGACATTTAGATGTTGGGGACAACAATGTTGAACGAACTTAAAAAAAATAGGTCTAATGAAAGTAATCAAGTTCCACAAACCAATCAACCTATGCCAAAACTACAAGAAACACAATCTAATAAACCTACTCAAAAACCAAAAGTGACACAATCTTTTGATTTGAACAATCTTCCTTTAGACTCGGGGGATAGGCCAAAGATTACATCTTATAATCCTAATCAAAGGGATGAAATAAGGAGGGCATATTTGATTAAAGGGACTTGTCAACCAAAAGGGCATAGTTTTGAATATATCTTATTTAGTAATAAACTAAGAAGTTTTGTTGTACAGTGGTTTACTAATTTTCGATGGTTAGAATATATCATAAAATATAAGAAGACATATTGTTTTTGTTGCTACTTTTTTGAGAGACGTAGTGGGGGAACAAGGTGGAAGAATTCTTTGAACATGATGATGTTGTGGCGGTTGCGAAGAAACATGATGATGTTGAAGAATTCTTTGAACAACTAGCTTTGGTGGTTATCGTCGTTTGTGGGTCTTGTAAGATAAAGATATGACATGAGAGATGCAAAAAAGTGGCAGTTGAAATTGGTATTGGTGAAACTGAAACATGAAGAGGGTTGAATCAAGAGATTTCTCTTGTTCGAGCTAGAGATACTAGATGGGGTTCACATTTTAGAACAATTGTAAGTTTGGTGAATTTGTTTCCAGAAGTTGTTGCGGTACTTAAATATGTCAAGGAGGAAGGGTCTACTTTATCTAACCATAATCAAACAAAGGTTATTTTGTCATATTTCAAAACACTTGATTCTGTGTTTCTTTTACACTTGATGTTGGAAATTCTATGCCTCATAGATACCTTATCAAAGCATCTTTAAAAAAAAGATCAAAATATTTTGGAAGCAGTTTCATTAGTAAAAGCAATGTTTTGAAAACCAAACCAGACATCGAATCGGATGTTTTACCGGTTCGATAGTTCAACTGGTCTGACCGGTTGGACCAGTCCTAAAAACTGGAATATATATATATATATATATATATATATATATATATATATATATATATATATATATATATATATATATATATATATATATTGAATATGTGATTGTTGGGTAACTAAGCTTGGGTGTAGAACCCTTTGAAACGTACATCATTTTCCTAGAAAATCATCAAAATACGTTTATTTTTCTAATTACTCTAATTATCCTAAATTGTTTCCAAGTTTATCTAATTCACATATTACGTTTGTTATTGATACGATTCTTTCTCCAACTAAAATCTCCTTGATGATCTTCGGGGTTTTGGGGAAAGTAACTGAAAACGTTCTGGAACTGAATGTTGTAAGTCGTCTTTTCCATTGCTACTTTATCACATGTATTTCTTTATCCTCCTTGATCACAACCCCTGTAACTAGTTTCATTGGGACTTTAGGCCACGTGATTTTTTTAATTGCCGGCTTACATTCACTTCTTCTTTTGGATTTGATTTTTTACCCATAATTTGTAGGCTTGTAATCGCTAGCTTCATTGGCATTTTAGGCCACTTATTATTATTTTTTTGGTTTTTGTTTTTGTAAGTAGGCTTACATCCTACTTCATTTTGTATGTAATTTGGATTTGGATTTTTTTCCCCATAATTTGTAGGTGTGTGACACGATCAGCTGCCTTCTCCCCTATTCAATTTGGAAGTTTGAACTTTTGTAACATTTAATAATATATATATATATATATATATATATATATATATATATATATATATATATATATATATATATATACACACACACACACATATATATATATATATATATATATATATATATATATATATATATATATATATTTTGGGTGTTGTTACAGGATTTAGTGTACAAACCTACTACTTTGTTGTTGTAATTCTGTAGGACCATTTTAGTTCAGCGTACTAGTCTAAATGATGTCCCAGGTAAAATTTTAAGCTTTTTTATTTTTATGCATGCTATCTATTGTTCTGTTCCATATGAGTTCTGGTTTTGTTTTATAACCCCATGTATTTTGGGTGGTTTTAATACACATATAATATTCCTGTCCATTAAAAAAATAATATTTGTTTGTTTGTTGATGGAGGACATACAAATAAAGATCAATACAGAAAACCAAGGAGATTACCGGCCTTATGAAACACATAGAACTGAAGATATTGACATAAATGGCCATTGGGAATCATTATCTTAGAGTGAGAAAATAAGCGATGTGGATGAAAGTCTTAAATGTGACGATGATGAAATTAATGATACAAGTATCATGGGAAAGGTATTGAATACACGCCATGATGCATATAAGTTTTATAACCGATATGCCTTTTTACATGGATTTGGCATACGTATTCATTGTAATTATAAAAACAAGACAACAAAGAAGATTTATCGTAAGATGTACGTGTGCAACAAAACAAGGTTTTAAACGTTTGAAGGGTGATAGTCAAATGGGATAACAAAGAAACGTCGTAGAGATTTAAGGACCGGATGTGAAGCGATGCTTCGAATTTCAAAAAGGAAAGATGGAAAATGGTTTGTGGATATTTTTAATGATACACATAATCATGATTAAAGTCTTACACCGACCAAAGTAATGAAACATCGTTCTCATGGAAAGTTCCACCGCTCAATGGCATGTAAATCTCTTATGGTTGAGCTTCGTCAATCAGGGTTGAAGCCTTCTCAAATTAAAAAAGGTTGTAAATGCAATGAAAACTCCATGTGAAGCTAATGTTACTTCAAAACAATGTGCTGATGTCTTATCTGAGCAACGAAAGCAATATAAAGGTAAAGAGTTTTATGGAGTTATCAAACATTTTCAAGATAAAGCACTAGTTGATCTTAACCAATATTTTGTTGTGGATTTATTTGAGGATGGGTCGCCTAGAAATACTTTTTGGGCTGATGGAAGGTCAAGGGATGCCTATCTTAAATTTGGAGATGTTGTTGTCTTTGATGTTACATACATGACAAACAAATTTAAGATGCCATTTTCTCCTTTTGTTGGGGTGAACCATCATGGTCAATCAATATTATTTGGTGGTGCATTGCTAGAAAATGAAAATGAAGAAACTTTCCAATGGTTATTTGAGCATTTCTTAAAGTGCATGTTCAATAAGTACCCATCTGCAATTATAACGGATCAATACAGGGCTATGGGTAATGCTATAAAAAAAAGTGTTTCCAAACACTCGACATCGCTACTATGCATGGCATATTAAGAAACATGAGATAGAACATCTTCAACCGCTTGTAACCCATTATAGTGATTTCAAAGAATCTTATAAACAATGGATAAAGGGTGATTCAATAGAAGATTTTGAAGCAGAGTGGGAAGTTATGTGTGTTAAATATAACCTCGAAAATAATCGTTGGATCACCGAGATGTATAACCAACGAAATCATTGGGTTAAAGCCTATTTGAAGGATGTTTTCTTCGCAGGCATGACAACATGCGGACAAAGCGAGAGTATTCATTCCTTTTTTTTTGATGAATTTGTTAATTCCAAGACTATGTTGAATGAGTTTGTGGTTCAGTATGATAAAGCAGTTGCATCTCGAAGAGCCGTTGAAGAAGATGAGGACTTTAAGACTATGAACTCAAAGGCAGTTCTTTCGTCAGTTCATCCAATAGAAGCAAAATCTGGAGATTGTTATACTAGAAAGATTTTTGAGGATTTAAAAAAATGGAATCTAACTCATGAGACACTAAGCAAATGTACAGAAGAAATCAAATATCGGGTTGGGAAAGTGAATGTTGATAGAGCACATTGGAGACTTGTCATCTTTCATCTCAAAAATCAAGTGAATGTCACATGTTCATTTGCTAAATTTGAAACATATGGCATATTATGCAAGCATTGTCTATATGTGATGAAGAAGAGACATGTTCAAACCCTTCCTAATCATTATATTTTACCTAGGTGGACACTTGATTCTAGGTTCAAGGTGAGCACTTGTAGCATTGGATTGGACGAAATGAATAATGAAAAGCAAGTCAGTGCCTTAACCTTATGGTATGTGCGTGCAAACAGTAACAAAGCAATCGAACATGCAAAAACTTCCCCTTCAAAGATAAGAAAACTCAACAGTTTATTAGTAAAGTTTTTAGAAGATGGAGTTATTCAGAATAAGCCAAATGCACCTGAAAGTCCATCTCAAAGTTCTTGTGCAGGATTTACTCAAGTAGACATGATGCCTCAGTTGTCTATTCGGGATCCTACTATCCTGATTAATACGAAAGGACGTCCTAAAAATGAAACCAGAATCAAGTCTTCTTTAGAGATGGCGAAGAAAAAGAGAACTTGTTCTCACTGAAAGGGATTGGGTCATTATGCCACCAGGTGTCCAACGAAAAAGGTGATTTGTAATTTTTTATTTTTTAAGATTTCATGATTTTCCTTGTCCAATGCTCACATTTTCTCGTCTTAGGCGGAGGAGGCTTTACAAGACAAACAATGATGTTACTCTTGAATGGTTCTATCACAACTCCTTGGCAGTGAAGGGTGAAGAAGTGTTGTTGAAGGACATCTACAAATTTTCATTCATTCAGTTTAGCAGCTACATAATCTTTAATTTTGAAATTTTAAACTATATCAAACATACAGTTCTTGAAGTCTCTACAGTCAAATAGCTTGCACGGGTTCTTCTTTCTTTGTTGCAGTTCTGAAATATTTTATCCCCTCAAGTTACTTTTGTATTAATGGATTGTTCTTTTTGTTTTTTTACATATTATAGCAGCCTATTTTTAATGTCATTCTAATATGGTATTGAACTTCTAGTTTTGTTTCTTATTAATTTTTTAGTGGAAATGTGGAATGAATGGTTACAGACAGCACCTGATCAAATTACCACTAAACTTGAAACTATAACAATTATTACATTGCAATTTAACCCAATTTCTGTTTTTACCGTACCTGATACATTTTTAACAGACCTGACCATTCATTAAAGCATTAAAAACCAATATTATGTTTCATTTTGCAATAGAATCACCCATCGTTTTATGCAGTAATACTTTTACCATACAATCAATGATATTAAATTGAATTTTGCTGTCAAAAAAGTTGAATTTTTCATCATTATTTCAATTCTTTTTCTTATTTATTGAAACTGGAACAAATTGACCTCAAAATTAAAACTAAAATGCCATTTACTATTATTTACATTTGATTCTATACATTTCCAAGAGGCAAAACAACCCCAAACGCTAAAAGATAATAACAAAAGAGCACCAAATGAAATCTAAAGAAATTACAGTAGGATGGATCAATGTTTTGAAATGGGTTATTATGCATTCGCATCTGAATCACCAAAAGGGTTGGAATAAACTTTAAATTCTTCAAATTCTTGAATTGGGCTCTGAAGCGTTGAAGAAGCAGACCTCATTAGATCTGTAAACTTGAATTTTCATAATTATGCAATTATGTGTAAATGGGACACTTAAAACTTCCATGAGGGAGCTAGAAAGTTGGGACCTTTATTTGAACTGGACAAGCTAACTCCAAGTTAGAAAAAAACCATTTATCTTCCAGAACCTTCGAAATTCAAAAGGGAAACCATTATTTTCAAGCTTCAACCTCAGAGTGCTTAATCTTCAACAAATCTACGAGCACTAAGAGAGTAGTACATATAATAACAGGATTCTAAAAAGTTACACCATGTAGTGACTTGTAGAACGTTTGAGATAAAGCTCTCTTGGGTCAATTATGAACAATGATTGATACAGACCCAAATACATCCAACAGCCAGCTCGAGAAAGAAACAAAACTATGCTAAATTAATCAATCTGAGCTCAAGTACTTCATATGTAGAGATGGGTATTCATCAATGGGACCATTATGAAATTTTAGCTGCAGCACCACTCGACCTCAACTAACACATGAACGAACTTAGGGAAAAAAGTGGGAACCACACGGTGATCTTGGAGTGAATCGGAACGAAGAGGAACGAAATGGAACATATAGCAACAATTTATAGATCGAAATAAGAGACATAGCATAGCTGAAGGAAAAACACACATCGATTGAGAAGGAAGAAAGCAAACATCGAAGACAGGGGAGGAAGAAACCAAAAACTCTAGAAGCCAGATCCCGACGGAACGAATACTAAGTTGTACAATGAAGATAACTTATTTTCCTCCAAAACGACGTAGTTATACATGTTCCACACCTAAAATTTAATACCCAACAACCACATATTCCCTAACCCCATATATATATATATATATATATATATATATATATATATATATATATATATATATCATAAACAAAAGAATTTGGGATAATAACTTTCTATTAGAAATTCAGATATTTTTGGATTATTTCAATTATTGATTCTTTCCTTATCTTATTCACATAATTTTAGTCCTTTATTGTGTTTCCTTTTCTTATCATTGAAGATTGAGTCTCTTATTTCCTTCCTCTATATATATTGTATTTCCCCCGTAGTGAATGAATGGAGAATATATTTGACTTCCAAAATTTTATATGGTATCAGAGCGGGTTACGTACAACTTGAACATAACCCTAAAATAACAATCTCCATTCAACATGGCTGGGGAAGACGACAATGGCAGTGGCTCATCAAACAAGACTAACAACGAAACATCCGACCATGGCTCTCCTTACAATCTTCACCCGTCAGACTATCCGAGGCAAATGCATGTGAATGAAACATTAAACGACAACAACTATCTTGATTGGGTTCAGCAAATGGAGAATTCTCTGTATGCAAAAAATAAAATAGGGTTCGTTAACGGAATCCTTCAGAAACCAGAGAAGACACACGCTAATCACATGGGCTGGTTTTGATGTGATACCATGATTAAAGGGTGGCTGACTACAGCCATGGAAAAGGAAATCAGATCTAGTGTCAAATATGCTAGCACTGCCGAAGAAATCTGGAACGACCTCCGTGAACGCTTCGGGATGGAAAGCGCACCTAAGGCGTATGAACTAAAACAACTTCTCACAACAACTAAGCAAGACGGGGCTTCTGTTTCTGCATATTACACCAAGTTAAGGGCACTTTGGGACGAGATAAGTTCAATTTTTAATATACCCAAATGTTCTTCTGCAGGTTGCAAATGTGGGATCAGTAAAAGACTCACTGAACTAAGAGACAAGGAGAGATTATACGAGTTCTTACTTGCACTTGACAGTGAGTTATCCATGATCAGAACCCAAATATTATCAATGAAGCCTACTCCTACTTTAGGTGAGGCATACGACCTTGTGGCAGAAGACGAGCAGCAACGGGCAATCTTAACTGGAAAAAGGACCAATAGTGAAACAGTTGCGTTTCAATCTCACATAAAGTATGATGCTGATGTTTGGTCACAGAGAAAAATGGGTCCAAGAAATTCAAAAAGACGAGGAAACATTAAAGTTGAACATTGTGATTTTTGTGGGAAAGATGGACACACTCGTGACAGTTGTTTCAAGCGGATCGGGTACCCGGAATGGTGGCCTAGCAAAGGGAAACCAGAAAAAGGAAAAGCGAAAGTAGCTTTTGTTGAACACAACTCTTAGTGTGGGAAACAACAAGACTTTTATTAAGACACTTAAGGAGAACTTACACTTTGTGAGACTACTACACACTTTGCTTTCTTGGATGGTTTGGAGCAAATGAGCTCCATACCTATTTATAGGCCTCTTAGGAAGGTTCTAGATACTAGCATACACTTACTACATACTAGATAACTCTAGAACTATCTAACATACTCTACATACTTCCATATGTTTCTAGAACGTTCTACCATGTTCTGGAGAGGTCTAGGTTGCTTCAGTGTCTTCTAGAATGATCCATATCCTTCCAGGGTCTTCCATGTCGTTCTAGAGTATTCTAGACTCTTCCGGTATATTCCAGAGTCTTCCATAATGTTCTAGAATCTTCTAGAGCATTCTAGAACAAGCTAAAGTCTTCTAAATAATATTTGTTTTATTGGGCTAGTGATGATCTTTAACACTCCCCCTCAACACTAGCCCTCATTCTTCGTACCATGTTAAGCTGACAGCGAAAACCTTCACATTTTCCAGTACTCAGCCCTTTGGTGAACAAGTCTGCTATTTGGTCATCGGTCTTGATCTGCCGCATCTCAATTTCTTCCATCAAGACTTTCTCTCTGATAAAGTGATAATGCACTTCCACATGCTTTGTTCTAGCATGAAATACTGGATTTTCTGCCAGCCGAATTGCAGATTGGTTGTCACAGTGAAGTGGTACTGCATAGTCAACTTTTTGATGTAAGTCCTCCATTAGGAGTACCAACCATGTACTTTCTTGAGCTGCTACGGCCGCTGCTTTGTACTCCGCTTCCGTGGTTGACAATGATACTGTTGGTTGTCTTTTACTACACCATGATATTGGTCCCGACCCAAGCTTGAACACATACCCAGTGGTTGATCTTCGGGTATCATGGTCTCCTGCATAGTCAGCATCACAATATCCAACCAACTTGCAGTCTTCTCCTCTTTTATACAAGAGACCATAGTCAATTGTACCTTTGACATATCTCAAGATCCGTCGGGCAGCATCCAAATGAGGTTTCTTCGACTTTCATGTATCGACTCATAACTCCAACTGCATAAGCAATGTCAGGCCGAGATAAAGTTAGGTAGATAAGACTACCTACTAGTTGTCGATACATCGTTCCATCGTCCAACTCTTTTCCTTCATGAGCACATATCTTGGCATTTGGCTCTATTGGTGTTGATATTGGCTTACACTCCAACATGCCAAACTTTTGAAGTATATCTCTTGTATACTTTTGTTGGCAGAGGAACAACCCTTCCTTTGTACGATCAACTTCTAACCCCAAGAAGTGTTTAAGCTCCCCCAGCTCTTTCATTTGGAATCGCACCGATAGATTTTCTCTTGTTTGATGGATTTCTCTTTCGTCATCCCCGGTGATGATCAAGTCATCCACATAAACCAACACAATTGCCAACTTCCCTTCTTTTTCTTTGACGAACAGGCTTGAGTCTGCATGTGCAACTGAATAACCACTTCGGGTAAGAAATTCAGCAATCTTACCATACCAGGCTCTTGGTGCCTGCTTCAATCCGTAAAGAGCTTTTCTCAACTTGCACACATGATTGGGATTAACTTCATCCTCAAATCCCTTTGGTTGGTTCATGTAGATCTCTCGTCTAATTCTCCATGCAAGAAAGCATTCTTCACATCCATCTGCCATAATTTCCAGTCTTTACTAGCTGCAAGAGCTAACAACACCCGTACAGTAGTTATCTTCGCCACTGGACTAAATGTTTCATCATAGTCCAATCCATATTGTTGTGAGAACCCTCGAGCCA